CCGTCTCCCACGGTCCCTCTCTCTCATTATCGTCGACCACATTTGATACATTACTTAGATACGGATCGCGCAGTCCATTCTCTATGTCTTTGCAAGAGACGAATAACGAGGCTGCGAAGGCCAGATCGAGAACTACCGGAGCAGCCGCAAACACGCGGCCGCGTCAAGCAAATCGAACGGACGCCGAGGCGATTGGTAAATTTGGCCTGACCTCTGGATAACTCGGCCACGTGCCGCCTGTATATTACGGTGCAGGGCGTAATGCGCCAAACATTATTTATCGGGTCGGGACCAAGAATATACACCGCTGACGAAGATAACTGAGACAATTCGCCGATTGACCGACTCGACTGGCTCCCTCCGCGAATCAGCGTTCGTGTAAACGTAATAAAACATCACGACGTAACACTGCAACCCAGTGAATATTATCAGTGTCTTGTACATAAACCGGACGAGTGCCCTTGCACCCGGATTCTAAAAAACTCACCGTACAAATATAAACCATATAAGATATACAGGCTAAATCAGAGTAGTTGAACATGTGCGATCTCGATCCGATCTTTTAGTCGATTCGCCAGTATCCGATTTTAAGGTAGATCGATTCATTTAGTAAGAGATCGATCGTTCTTCGAAGCGTATATAGGAGCGGATTCGGAAATTCAAGATATATTTTGATATCATTTCATTCCTGTTGTTCACTGAATGTTGAACAAGGATAAAATAATATCTATATAAACTCAGGTGGTGTTTCTTAATGCTGGCAGCCCTGCCCGTTAGTTGATTCGTAACATTTCATCTTGGTCTCTTTCATTTCCTTATTTTTACCTTTAACTATCGTGGATTCTGTATCGTACTTACATCGTTCAACCGTTATCAGATTTGATTCTTATAAGTATAGGCATTTAAAAACTTAAAAAGTCGTATGTTTTTATATAGTAATTTTTATTGTGATTTTGTTGCACTATTAAACAAATGTGGTTTATAATATATACAATAAAAAATAGTTAATTATTTTATTGAA